TTCATTCAGCTTCTTGTATGCTCATCTTCTTATCTTTCATGATGTCAGGGAAGTTTTCTTCCAACCACTCTTTGACAATTTTCTCTGTGCTTTTTATTGTCTTTTCTGATTCTGGAATTCTGATCACCTGTAAATTGTTCCTCTTCATGGTGTTTCACATAACTCTTAGGCTCTCCTTGTATATTTTTCATCCTTTTTTCGAATTGTTCTTCTAGCGTACTAATACTGACAGATTTGTCTTTAAACTCACCAATTCGGGCTTCTGTTGCTTCGCATCTACTCCTTTGCCTTTTCACTGTCTTGTCCATTTCTGAGATCTCAGTATATTAATATTCTGGATTTCTAATCGCAGGTTTTGTATTGTTTCAAAATTTGCATTTATTTGTCTGCTTGTTCTTGAAGTGTTTTCTTGAATTCTTCTGAAGTTTTTTTTGTGTTCATCTTGTTTCCCTCGATCTTCCTATCAGTCTACCTAATGATCATTCTTTTGAATTCTTTCTCGGTTAGTTCCATTACATTTTCTTCCTCAGAAATGTTTTCTGGCTCTGCATCTTGGGCATTTGCTTGAGTCATTCCTCTGCTGTTTCTTTGTGTGAGTTAAAATTGTCTGTTGTCTCTGGGGCATTTTGGGGTTGTCATATTTGTGAAAACAAACAGTGCAGTTATTTGACCCAGAAGGGGGAAATCTCTGGGGGCGCTCCTGCATATCAGGAGCTAATGAGGTATTCATGCAGGGATAGGACAGTGGAGTTCCCAGCCCTAGATGAAGTTCCTGTTGGCCTCTGTCTTATCTATGTTCAAGACACTTAATCTGGAAGTAGTTCATTGGGGCCTTTGATGGAGCAAGTTTCAGTGTCTGTTAGGACCCCCAGAGAAGCTGGGCATTGTGACTCATTAAATGGTAGCCTGGTAGTAATGTGGGGTTGGTAGGTCTGGAGCCAAGGCCACCTGAATCCAGGCACCAAAGTGACACATCCTGCCCCCACCTCATACTGACTTAGCTCCCAACCACCTGACTCCAAACTCTTAGAGAACAGGGTCTCCACAAGGGGTGGATAGGGTGAGAGCTGGCAAACTGCTGGTCACCAGGTGAATGTGGGGAAAAGAAGAGATGGCACCTTTTCTGTCACCCATGTGAGTCTTTGCCAGACCTCCCTCAGCTGCCAAAGCTGCTCACAAGATGGTGGAGCTAGATCAACCATCCGTTCACCAATCAGTCTCCTTCTCTTGCTGTCCCTGCTCAGCTGCTCCTCCCAACAAGCACTCTCCATCCACCTCTCTAAAGGTCAGAACTTTCTTCTGAAGTTCAGGGTGCCAGCATTTTCATCTGTTTCTTGTTTGATTTGGTCTCTCATATCTTTGTTGTAGTGTGTATGTCTAGTCCGCCATCTTGCCGGAAGTCCTTTCTGGGTGTATTTTTCACCCAAGGTGCTATGCGGATTTCAACAAGAGTCCCGCTTTCTTGAAGAATGACATCGATGGGGAAGTGAGCGTACACAGACCTCATCTAGTAACGGAAGTCTTTTATAGAGCCTTTGATCATGTTCCTTTTCGTTTCATGAAACCTTCTTTTTCTTTCCAAGGAGACTGACTGAGTTCTACATGGATCTGATTGCAGTCCCTCCTCCTCGGGTTCCTCTGGGACCCTTCACAGTAACTGTGTGTGTCCCTTCAGGGTAATGTTGATATTTTCTGTAATGTCAGCAGTCTTGTTGCTGAGATTGGTCTTCATTCTCACAGTAGAGTCAATGAAGAAAGTCATTTGTGCATTCTTGTTGCTTGCTTAATCTCCTCTTTGATATCACAAAAGAGATTGGCTTAAAACACCACCCTACAGTAATACTGCCTCATGAACATGAAAAAACCCTGTTCCCAAATGAAGTTATAACCACAGATATAATAGGACTTGCAACACATATTTTTGGGAGATACAGTTCAATCCATAATGGGGTCCCACTGGGAATTAGGGGGCCCTATTCTCCTACCTAAGTTTTTACTGCTTGGGATCCCCCACTGCTCCTCAGGGGTGCCACATTCAGAAGTTACTGAGACCCTGGGTAACTCTTCTGGAAAGAACTATGAGGAAAACGTGATGTGCACTTTCCCGAGTTAACAATTTGTTGTCTCACTAAAAATGAGCTTCTGATCAACTTCTGGGTATGGGTCGCTGTTTCCCCTCATGAGTCAAAAACCATTTTTTCCCCTGAAATGTCAGCTAGCTTCTGAATGTTGGTCATTGTCTTCCCTCATGTGGAAAACCATTTTCTGTTTTTTTTTTTCCTTGTTTTGTGAAGTGTCAACTGGTTTCTGACTGACTTTTGGCCACGGGCCACTGTCTGCCCTTCATGAGTAACAGTTTCCTTTCTCTGAAGTGTCAACTAGTTTCTGACTGACTTCTGAGTGTGGGTCATCGTCTTCCCCTCATCAGTAAACAGTTTTTTTCTTTCTGTCAAGTGTCAGCTAGTGTGTCTGACTGACTTGTGGGCACAGGCCACTGTTTCCCCTTCATGAGTAACGGTTTCCTTTCTCTGAAACATCAACTTGTCCTGACTGACTTCTGGGTGTAGGTCATTGTCTCCCCCTTCATGAATAAACAGTTTTCTTCTTTCTCTAAAGTGTAGACTTGTTTCTGACTGACTTCTGGGCATGGACCACTCACTGTCTTCCCATCCTGAGTTAGCAGTTTTGTCTTCCCATCATGAGGAAACAGTTTTTTTCTTTTTCTGAAGTGTCCATTTGTTTCTGACTGACTTCTGGGCAGAGGCCACTGTCTCCCCTCAAGAGTAACACTGTTGTCTTCCTTTTCTGAAGTGTCAGGAGGTGATAGAGACTTCCCTGAGCAGTGCGAATATTCTGGCTGACGACGTAGACTTTCACTCTTTCCCATTTGATGCCTTTGGCAAAGGCGCAATCAAGAAATGCCGGACGAGCCCAGACGCCTTTGTCCAGCTGGCCCTCCAGCTGGCTCATTACAAGGTAAGAGCAGGAGCCTGGGTTTTGTCCCAGTGCTCAGGGGTCCCTGAACACACCCCAGGCTGCTGGCCTGGTAGGTGAGAAGCCTGGGGAGGCGGACTGCACTGGAAGCAGTGCTTTCTGGGTCTTCAGTGCACAGGATGGGGGGTTTGCAGAGCCCCTTCTGAGCTACAGTTGTTTGGAAGTGCCTGGGATGCAGCAAGTTTCTTATGTGACACAGACACAGAGGGGAGGACATGGGCGATTCGAGCAAAGGGAACCCTAACATAAGCGTGAGCCCTCGTGGTTAGGAAAGTGGGGAGCCTCAGGGCAGACACCCACTGCTCTGTCTGTTCCCTGGGGCTGAGGTGCAGATGGGATGTGGCTCTAGGCTATGGCAGAAAGGAAGCCAGGGGCAGCCCAAGTCCACCTTTCTCAGGGTCATGCGGACCTCACGGATTGTCTCCTGTGAGTACCTTTATCTTTCAGCAGGATGGGCTGAATGCACACCTGGTTCCGTGTCGTACTCCTCCTATAAGCACTTGGGGGTCTTGGCTGCTGGCTGGTGTCGCATCGGCTCTGCCTCATGGCCATCTCACGTTCAACAGAATGGAACGTGGCTGGTCCTGTCCCCCTTCATGTCGGTTGATAGGGTTGAATCCATGTTTGAAGCATCTGTTTCAGTCCATCCTGTGGAGAGTCTCCCCCGTTTTCACTGACCCTCTGGATCAACCACAATATCCTTGTCTAGCAATCGTGTCTTCCTGATGATTTGCTCAAAGTAACTGAGTTAGCGTTTCCCCACCCTTGCTTTTTTTAAAGATTTTATTGTGAATTGAATAATACTTTACATGGGAGAACGTTGGTTTTACTCATTGTTTCACTGCAATGATCACAATCTCGTCTGTGCATCATTCAACAGTATTTGCTTCTATTTCCTCTTTTTTTTTTGGGTGGGGGGGGATGTACACAAAAACACTCAGGAATATATAATCATGTAAACAACCAAAGGGCACATTCTGCAAGCCTGCCTCCTGGCCGCCAGCACACAACCTCTCTCTTTCCATGAATCTAGAGTCCTCAGCTGCTCTCTCTCTCCATGTCCTGATCACTGCCTCCATCTCTTCCCCAGCCTCGCTTTTGAGGAACCTTCCTAGGGTGTTTTTTCTAAGACTGATGGGTTTGTTCTGCTGTTGGGCTGGCGTCCTGGGAAGAGTTGAGGTGTCTGAAGCTTAGGAAATCACATGATGGTATCAGGAGTTACTTGCTTCTCACCCTAAGCCCTTCCTGAAGCTAACATTGCTGCCTGCCTGTCACATAACCACGTGCCAAAACCAGCTGTCACTCAATCTGTGCTGGTAGTAGCTGGCCTACACCTGCCTGCTCTCTCTCTGTCTCGTAGGACAGAGGCAAGTTCTGCCTCACGTATGAAGCCTCCATGACCCGGCTGTTTCGTGAGGGCAGGACAGAAACCGTACGCTCCTGCACCACCGAGTCCTGCAACTTCGTGCTGGCCATGATGGACCCACACCAGACAGTGAGCGTGTGCCATTCCCTTTCTTTCTTCCGTGCCCCCCCTCCCTGGAATCAGAAAGAGGTGTGCGTGGAAATGGACAGGAGTGCACGTGCCAAGAGCTGGGCATTAGATCCCTTGTTGTCAAACTGTGACTTCTTTCTCCAAACACATCAGAATGCAAGATAGTTGTTAAGTGAGTGTAGAAAACCAGTCCACTGGAGCTGGAGTTTTGGAGAAGTGTGCTCTGTGTGGCCTCCTCGAAAGCGCTTGATAATTCAGTTTTTCCTTTTTTTCTTCTATTAAAATAACAATTTACTGTATTTTTGGTGGATGTTTACATAGTAACTTAGGTTGCCATGTAGGATCAGCAGTAGACTGCTAACCACAAGGTTGGTGGTTCAAACCTACCAGCCTCTCCTTGGAAACCCTATACTGGACAGCTGTGAGTCAGTACCGACTCAACAGTACTTGACACCAATGATGACGCACGTTCTTCAGTGATATGAGAGTGACATTTTTATAATGCGTCAGCGTTCTCTTTCATGATGTTCTGGTTGTACTTTAGAGTAAATGTTGGCCTTTTTAAAAAGTTTCATTTACAAGGGGATTTCAGAAAGTTGTGGAATAGGGGATTAAAAGACCATGGAATTTTTCAATGAACTTTATTGAAGATGGTGTTTTTAAAAGGAGCACCCATTGTGGTTGTTAGTACAGTCGAGTCGGTTCTGAATCATAGTGACTCTATAGGGTTTCCAAGGAGCAGCTATTGGGTTAGAACCACCGACTTTGTGGTTCGCAGCCAAGTACTTATCCCACAGCACCACCCCAGGAGACCAAAGGAGCACCCTAGCTGAGGATAATGTCCTTATGTTGTGTGCCATTGTTTTATTTTGTTACTAGCTAACCTCGGGACAGTGTCAATTCAAGGTTTAAAGAGTGTCTCAGAGAATCGTCTGGTCGCAACGGGTCCAGAGAGCTTGAGCTTTTTAGGAATGTGAGCTCCACTCTCCAGTGTTCCCCTGTCTTCTCAGGACCCATCTATTGTGACCTTGATCAGAATCGTTGGCAGTGATAGTTGGACATCACCTAGTCCTGGTCTGAGGGTAGAGAAGGTCGTGGCTCATGTAGACTGTCAGCTCTGGGGACCGGTTTCTTCTCTGAGTCTTTGTGCTTTTGTCTTTCCTTTTGCTCCTGATGAGTGGATACCACTAGTTATATCTTAGACGGCTGCTCGCTGGGTTTTAAGTCCCCAGACTCTCCTCACGTCCCTGTGATGCAGAGGGTGAATTTTGTAGCACCCCTGGGCTTTCTTTCAGTGAGTTTCTGTAGCCGTGGAAAATGTCACCGTGGTCCGAATGGGACGGAGCCTTGCATGGAATCTGCTTGAGTATCTTGTTTATGATGAGAGCTTGGAGAAAGTGCTGACAGCAACAAACAGATGGGGATCTGGAGGGATATTTGTACCAGGAGTTGTCACTTGCTTCTCTGAAGAAACAGATCAAAGGCCCTCGTTTCTCTTGACTCGAAGACCAGGCCTTAAATGGGTGGATCAGAGCCTTGGAGACCTATCACCCCAAGTCTGTGGTCTACTTAGAGCTGAAAAGAGCCTGAAGTATCCTTTTGGGATCAAATATAAAGACCCAAAAGTGTAGTTAAGAGTTGAGTTGTTAGCCGGGTCCCTTGGGAAGGTAAGGTTTACAGTCCAGGTTGGGGCAGAGACAGACTCATCTGCATTTTCTTACAGTGAGAATGTGAGGTCTTACAAACCTCATAAATAGTGTGTTCAGCCGCTAACCCAAGGCTGGAGGTTCGAGGCCTGGTGTTCTCCATTCAGTAAATCAGTCTTCAAAACCTGAGGCCAAATGGTGCCCAGCGGACTGTAAAGGAAAGAGGGATGAAACATCCGACACAGAATCTGTGTGACGATTATTAACACATTATAAAAGCTGTAACCGGTGTCTGAACAATCTGTGTAATCGTTGTTTAGTGCTGTAGACTTGGTTCCGACTCATAGCAGCCCTGTATAGCATTTCCGAGGAGCGGCTGGTGGTCTTGAACCGCTGACCTTGCAGTCCTGCGCATTAACTCACAGCACTGTGGGAATCTGTCTAAAGTGTCTCCAGCACACAGTGAACTGTTTGTTGCAGGCAGACCTCAGGTCGTGTGAGTTTGTCTCCAGAGCACCTCCATAAAACGCAAATGTCCCAACAAAGTAAGGCACGTGAGTGGAGTGGTTTCCCAGCGTGGAGAAGCTGTGTTGACGCTGTTCTGTAGTGTATGAAATATGCACTAGCATGATGAAAACGTGTGACGTTGTGTGAGAATGACCCAAGCGGTACACAGGGACACGAAGGGATCACACTGGAGATTGGCGTTGACAGACTTGCTCAGCGCAGGGTGGCCGCTAACCTTCCATTTGTGAAAACACACAATGTCTGCAGGTGCACTAAAGCAAAGCACCATGGAACAAAGTCGGCCTGTATTTTAAAAGCACAGATCTCCTCCATGGAACCCTTGTGACATACCTGGGGCTCCGTGGGTTGGGGCTCACCTCCATGGTGACTCGTGTTAAAGCCTAGTCAACAGGGAAGTGACAACCACCCCTCCTCAACCCGGAGCCACTCCAACTGCGGCGCTGGTCTAAGGACTGGGCCCGGCCCGGCCCGGCCCTGCCGCCAGATAACTCGCACCACCCAACATGCATCTCTCCCATCCCCGGTGCCGTAGATCGAACAGCGGTTCAAGTTGTTCAAGACGGCATCTGAGAAGCATCAGCTGCTGTATCGCCTCGCCATGACAGGTGCTGGCATCGACCGCCATCTCTTCTGCCTGTACGTGGTGTCCAAGTACCTGGCTGTTGACTCCCCCTTCCTGAAGGAGGTAAGTCACCTCTTCTGCAACATGTCAGTCCGTTTTGCTGCCTAAACGTCTACGAAGGAACCCTGGTTAGCACAGTGGTTGAGCACTCAGCTGCTAATCGTAAGGTTGGTGGTTCGAACCCACCCGGAGGTCTCACAGAAGGTCTGGTGATCTGTTTCTGTAAAAGTTATTGTTGTTATGTGTTGTTGAGGCAATTCCAACTTGTAGCGACCCTGTATTGGGCTTCCGAGGCTTTGGGATCCTTGCAGGAGCAGAAAGTCTCATCTTTCTCCCTCAGAGCAGCTGGTAGACTTGTAATGCTGACCTTGTGGTTCACAGTCCAGTGTTTACCCTCTGGAGACACCATACTGCCTCCCGTAAAGGTCACAGCTGGGCAGTTCTACACTGTCCCACGTCGCGTTTCTAGGAGTCCTGTGCCCACTCAACAGTGTCCAAAGAGCGTAGCAGATTCCTTTTCTTAGCAGTCCCCACGGAGTCGCTTCTGACTGATGGTGACCCCGTGTGGGTCCAGGTAGAGCGTGGACACAGGTAGACACATGGGGTTTTCATTGGTTGATTTTCCAGCAGTAGATTGCCAGCCCTTTCTTCCTCATCAATGTTTGTCTGGAAGTTCTGCTGACACCTGCTCAGTGTCCTCACAGCTTATAACCTCCGCTGACAGACAGGTAGTGAGTGTGCGTGAAATGGATTGGGTGGGAATCGTAGTACCCAGGTCTCCCGTGTGGGAGGGGTGAACGCTCTCCCTGAACCCCAGTGCCTCACCCTTCTGACTTAGAAAACACGAATAACCTCTCGAGAGCTTAGGTCGTAGTAAAATGCACAAAGATAACCAGGAAGTCAGGAGTTCTAAGTATTTATCCTTACTGTTTTAATGTAATGCAATCGTACGTTCCTAAATTTAAAGGTTCATAAGTGACTGGTTTTAACAACCGGCTTGAAAAATTCCTGAAACTTTACCAGTGTTTCCTGGGGACTGGCGTGACTTGGCTACAACACCCCGCCGCCTCCCTCTAAATCTTATTTGCTGTGTGGCCTGCCGTCAGCGTTCGTAGATTCAAGTAGCTGCAGATGGATAATACTGAGGAAACCCAAAGAAGGTCCTGAACTGGCCAAGGCAGTCCCTCCACGGCTAAGAGGGAGCATACCGTGCTGTGTACAGGACACTTGCGTTGTATTAGGTGTCATCAGTAATCTAGACATGATTTGAAGCCCAGGTTAGGATGGCATAGGCTATATGCAAACACTACGCCGTTTTATATAAGAGCAACGTGGAGGTTCTGGTGTCTCCAGGCATCCTGAAGCAGACCCCCTTCAGGTACTGAGGTACCAGCCACCTTTTATGCCTGAGACGATGTTAGGTGCCCCCATGGAAGTCTGGGACACACAGGCCTTTTGTGTCTGAAACAGGAGCCAGAGCGAAATTTCCGTGTCCTCCTACCTAGGCTCGACAGTGACAGTAAAGCACGGATTAGGGACAGCTTCCCCCCCGGACATTTCCTCATCCCGCTGTCCTGGATTTACCCGCAGGTCCTATCTGACCCTTGGAGGTTGTCAACCAGCCAGACCCCTCAGCAGCAGGTGGAGCTGTTTGACCTGGAACGGAACCCAGAATACGTGTCGAGTGGAGGGGGCTTCGGCCCGGTAAGTGGAACAGGACATCTGCATTCTTACAGGGACTTGGCGCTTGCTCGCCGCCACCTCCACACCTGTGACATCATGGATGGCCCACCCTGAAGGATGCCTCCTGAGATCCAACGTCAGTGGCAGCCATGTGTTTAAAATGTTATCATCTGCCGTGGAGTTAGCTCCGACGCATAACAACCAAGAGTTGCTCAGTCTGGTGCCGCCTTCAGGATCGCTGACAGATGTGGGGGGAATTCAGAATGTGAGGGGCTTCCTTGTTGGTATGGCCTCATTTCCCATCACCAGTTGAAAACCTCTTTTGTTCGCCAGGTTGCAGACGATGGTTATGGTGTGTCGTACATTCTCGTAGGAGAAAACCTCATTAATTTCCACATATCTTCCAAGTTCTCCTGCCCTGAGACCGTAAGTACAGGGGAAGCCCTTTTCTATCAATAGGGTCTTGTTAACTTTTTTTAAGGAGAGCACGTCCTTAATGTGAGGCCTGGTGTTGCACTGTAGGCTAAGCACTCGACCTCGGGGTTGGTTTGAACTGGAAGGTTGGTAGTTCAAAGTCACCAGCCGCTCCTCGGAAACCATATACAGGGTCGCTATGAGTCAGAACCAATTTGATGACACTTAACAACATTGATTAGAACATTTTCAGATCAATGAATTTCAGAATCTCTGCGGTGCGGTTTTCAGGAGAGTGATGAGCCTTTGTGTTCTCATAAAGATTTAAAGCCTCGGAAACCCTATACAAAGCCTCTGAGTTGAAGCCTCTTAACAACAACAGGCTGCGTTCGAAAGAACTAGCTCTGCTTTAGATTTAAAAAGCGTTATCTTTGGGTCCCTAGTGGTACAGTGGGTTAAGTGTTCGGCTACTAACAGCAGGGTCAGTGGTTCAAACTCACTAGGCGCTCCACAGGAGAAAGATGAGGCTGTCTGTGCCTGTAAAGACTTACCATCTCGGAACCCCATGGGGCAGTTCTACTCTGTCGGCTGGGGGCGCTGGGAGTCAAAACCGATTCAGAGGCAGAGGTTGGTTTTCAGATCTCAGGGGACATTGGGGGGCATCTGCGACTTTCAGATTTTCTATAACTCTTAGACTAAGAATAGTGTGCACATGCCAAGAAATGTACACATGTGACTGGACAGAGATCTGTACATGCGAAGAAATATATACACGTAACTGGATGTGGAGCTGTACACACCAGAACTGTACGCATGTCACTAGACAGGGATCTGCACATGCTAAGAAATGTACACACGTGACTGGACAGAGATCTGTACATGCTAAGAAATATATACACGTAACTGTATGTGGAGCTGTATACACCAGAACTGTACGCATGTGACTAGACAGGGATCTGCACATGCTAAGAAGTGTACACATGTGACTGAACAGGGATCTGTACATGCTAAGACATTTATACATGTAACTGGATGTGAGCTTTACACACACAAGTGGACTGAGACCTGCGGAGTCCTTTTGCGGGTGGTACACACCCCGTTTTTACTCTCCGTTTCACACTGTGCACAGCCCCTTGGCAGGGGGACCATCACAGACATGTAAGCCACTGTCTGTCTCCCGACATGCAGTTCTTCCAGCTTCTGAGATCCAGTGAGTGAGCCATCGGGCCAAAGAGGCCACCGACCGTTGGCACAAAATGAATTTCTCTTGTTTGAATCAGGTTAAAATGGAAGAGACTTGGGATGTAGGCACTGCCACCCTCTCCAGGTTGTTTCTCTTTGTTTTTAAATTCTAGGACTCTCATCGCTTCGGGAAGCACCTGAAACAAGCCATGTTGGACATCATTAGTCTGGTTGGGTTCACGGTGAATTCCAAAAAGTAATTCCAGTCGAGCTGCTCCAAAAGGAAGTGAACTCTGCCCCTAAAAACCAAATGAAAATAGGTGTCAATCCTGAGGATAGTTCAGGGGGGAAACATTTGCTCTTAAAAAAATACTCAGAAGTTTTCCTTCCAGCAAGGTTTTGGTGTTTTTGTTTTTCTTACAACCGTAGCGTCTACCATGTAATGTATTACCCTGTTCCTTCCTGGTATGTCTTCATACTATTTCTGTGTCACCCCATGACCCTTGGAGTGAGTCCCCCCGAAAGCCTGGGCATCCATGCATATTTATTTAGGGGTCCGGATGTCACTGGGCTCTGAGGAGTTACGCAGTTCTCGACTTCACATCTGTTAGAAATAGACGTGGCACTGCTCCTCAGAGGAGACTGACCGTCTGGGACTCCAGAACATCTGGGACTCCAGGGCATTTCACTGTGTCAGAGTTTGTCTTGTTACAAGAAAAAAGGTGGTTCACATTAGGGTGTTACCGGTCCCCGTTCCCACTCATGTAATGCATTAATGGAACACGCTGTGCTTTCAGAAATAGGATGTTGCCCCTGTGAGTAGCTCTACCATGGTCTAATTTGGTCTGTGTGTGTGTGTGTGTGCCTCTCTGCTATTTTCAGCACTTCATGGCCGCATCTAGTTGAACTAACCCAGCATGTCTTCAAAACCCAGTGCCTTAAGTAGGGAAATGCCCTACAGACCAGGGAGGTGGTGTGAGAGGGGGACTGGTGGGTGTACCACTCCCCTCTCATTCTGAGGATGGATAACCCCAAATACACTTTTCCCTATGGCTGCTCCCACCCACACAACGACCAGAGTCCCATCTGAGGGCAGGTGTGCCGGAATGCCTGCCTTTCCTACCTAAGCGGCTTGTGTCGGAGCCGGAAAGCAGGGAAGGTAATGGTCAAATCAAAAGTGTCTGGGGAGTCCGCCTAAGAATAAAATATGATGCGTGCTTCCTCAGGATTGCGTGAGTCACCCCCCACCCCCACCCCAAAGAAAGAAAGAAATCCTATGACATGGCACATGGCAAGGAGGACTTGTCAGTGTCATAGGGCATCTGGGTACAAGTCATGGGGCCACAAAGCCCATCCCTCCAAGAGGTGCCTTCGATCAGCCAAACCACTACAAGTCACTGACTCTTCTTCAGTATTGGACGTCAAAATCAAAGTGTCGCAGAACGAGATTCCTGCTTGCTTCCGGGTCACAGTGACGAGCTGGCCTGTCCACGTTTTTAATTGTGTGTTTATGTACTGACCACTGGCCTTCTCGTGGTGGGCCCACTGCCGGAGGCATGCTGCGTTCCAGGAGCTGACAAACAACATGGGCATGTTTTATTTATGTATATTTTGTAATGTAAAATATCCCACCTCAACGGGCCAAAGAATTTTTGTAACCCCCTCCTAAAAACAAGAATTGGAAACAAGAAAGTACCATCTGCAGTAACAGAATCCACCCTCCCCCAACCCCCAGTTGTAGGGAGGTAAAGCCCCTCATCCAGCCAGCCAGCACCAATCACCACCAGGTGAATTGGAGCCGAGAAGTTAGCACTTACTGAGTCTTCGCTCTCAGGTTTTATACGTTCCAAACTGTCATTGTAATTCATCAGATCTGATAGCAATGCAATTTTCTATTCTTTAGAAGAAGGAAGAGTGAGTTTTTATTGTACATGCCGAGCTGGGGGTGGAGGGAGAGAAGAGTCTTCATGTATTTAATGAAATCCGGAACAAGTTGTAACCCTAAGCAGAGCTGTATCTGCATTTGCCATCTCGGATTGCTCCTTGCATGTACATACGATATGCTCTGTAGGTTGTAAATCTTGGATACGCACAGTGTGAACATAGGTTATCATTAATAAAATTATTAATCCCTATCTATAAGAGTATTTGTCATCTGTTATACTAAGGGACTTCTGGCATGCAGAAGCACCAAACTGGCAATCCCAAGGTCAGCAGTTCAAATCCATCAGCCGCTCCTGGAAACGTACAACAGGGTTGTTGTGAGTTGGAACCGACTTGAGAGCATTTACCAACAACGGTTTTATATAAAGAGTTGGTTGGTGGAACAGCAGTGATTCAGGGGTAGAACGCTCCCCTTCTATGTGGGAGACCTGGGTTCGAATCCTGACCAGTGTGTCTCGTGTGCAGCCACCCATCTGTCACGGAGTCTTGTGTGTGGCTAGGATGTTCAGCAGGTGTCAGCAGATCGTCCAGACTAAGATGCACTAGGAATCAGCCAATGAAAACCCTACAGATCTGATCTGATCTGCAGTTGGTCACGTGGATGGCGCAAGACCAGGCAGTGTTTTGCTTCGTTATAGCCAGGGCCGTCATGGGTCAGGGATGATGGTGATGAGGAGGTGATGAGACACATTACCGCCTGGAACAAGCTCAGGCACTTGGAACAAAAGCGGGAGACCAGGTTATGCAAGAAAAGTCCCTAGCAGGCAGGGGGACAGGCCTATAGCGTCATGCACTTGATGGAATCAGGAAGCTTGGAGGTGAGGCCCACTGAGTTCTATTCATCCATTTCCTGGTCTAGTGCCCAGAACAGTGCCTGACACACAGTAGGTGCTTAGTGGTGGCGGTGGTTATGTGCTGTGGAGTCGGTTCCAACTCATAGCGACCATGTACAGGGTTTCTGAGGTTATACATTTTTATGGGATCAGAAAGCTTCATCTTTCTCCTGCAGAACAGCTGGTAGTTTGGAATGGCTGACCCTGAGATTAGCAGGCCAATTCATAACCACTACACTACCAGAGCTCCTTAGGTACTTAGTTGTTATTGTTAACTGCCTTTGAGTCAGTTCCGACCCAATAGCAACCCTGTATAGGGTTTCCCAGGAACAGCTGCTCAGCTTGAACCGCCAATCTTGCGGTTTAAGCTGAGCAGAGACCTGTTATCATGAACATAGGGATTTTCGATTTGCTCAACAGTCTTGATTGAGCACCTACTGTGTGCTCGGGTGTCCCTGAGTGGTGCTGCCGAAATACGGGACCAGTCCTTCCCACAGCACTCTCTCCTCCTCAACTGGATCTACGCATTCATTGCAGTGGCCACACGGAACTCAGACACCTGCCTCAGAGTAATGGGGTTCATTAGGGAAGTGAACAGGCTACAATTCAGGGTCAGAAAATGCTCTGGGCTCACTTCTTCCAGTCAGGACAGCCTCCCCTCAGCTGTGCCCACAGGCAGGCCTCTCTCTGCCTGAGCAGTGTTACAGAGTTCTTTTTTCTTTTTAATGTTTTATTGTAAATTATGTGATAGTTTACATGGGAGAACATTAGTTTTACATTCATCCTAATTGTTTATCATTTCATTGCCTTTCAATCCCCTCCATGCCTCAACAACCAACCAAAGGGTATACACTACAAGCCTAATCCCCCACCCCCAGTCGTCAGCACACAGCCCCTCTCCCTCTCTGTGTCCAAAGCCCCCAGCTGCTCCATCTCTCCACATCATCGTCTCTGCCTCCTTTTCTGGCGTCACTGTTTTTCTGGGTAGGGTCCCGCTCTCCGCGCTTCTCCCTTGATGGTCCCAGGGACCTCGGTTCCTAGGCTGAAAAGTTAATCATGCCCCTCCTTGCTACAAAACGTCTATCTCTACATTTCCAACCCTCACAATCAGTCCTGATGACAATTATTCACTATTGTATCACAAGAAATCCATCTGTGTTTCATTTCATCAGCCCGGCCTAGACAGATTGGATACTACTCAGTGGAGATTGTACCTTCCTCCAGGCCCTCTGGATCTAGGTTCCCTCTTGAAAGCTTGTAAGCCAGTCACTTCTTGCCTTTGTAGTCCCCCGCCCTCCATTTTGGGTAGCCAGTGTCCAAGTTGCCCATCCCTGTCTACTCTGTGTGTGGAGGGGGTGGGGATGATTCTTGCTGTAAGGACTTGTTCCCTCTTTTGAGCTACTGCATCCATAGGTGTAGGTCAAGTTCATCAAATTGTATCAGATTATTCTTTTCTTCCCCCTCTTTCTTCTTCTTCTGGTTGAGCTCTGATTATCCAGTCATTGGAGCCAGGTCAAGTGAGTATTATCTGCAAGTGTGGGTGTTCTTGTGCATATGCCCTCTCTTCTTATCAGCTGGACGCTTCACTGTCCACTCTAGTCCTTTGTGGCTATGTCACTACAGAGCTCTTTTAGAGCTGCTGATAAAATGCTCACAGGACACACCGCTCCATCATAAGCCTGGAGGAAAAGTTCAAAGTCCGCGCTACATGTTTCATGGACTGGGAAGTCCAGCGCTCTGTCAGGTGCTCTGCTGCCCCTCCTCAGTGTCATAGCTTTCTGTCCCTGGGTCAAGGCTGTTCAATGCACAGGGATCTCAGGTTAAAGGACAGACACGACACGTTCCACTCCTGGCTCCTCCTCTTTAATGGTAATAGGTAAGATCTCCCCTCCTGTGTCAGAAATGGTCCTTGTATCCTCTGTGTTAGAGTTTCCAGTCTTTACAATTAGGATGAACTCTGGCAACACCCACAGCTGAATCTTGTCATACGATCAGTTCCTCATCTCCCACCTTCTCTTACCCAGACTTGCCGGGGAAAGAGTTGTTCGGTGGGAGCTACAAAGACGTAGGCTGGAAGAGACATTAAATAACTCAATATACCAGAGGTATAAATAATTATTGTTCTCAGCTGCTCACTAAAACGCTGGAGGCGTGAGTCCTGCCAAAGGCACTGCAGAAGAAAGTCCGGGCGATCTACTTCCAAAAACCCAGCCATTGAAAAACCTGTGGAGAACACGCATACGGGTCCGAGTTACCTCCTTGGAGACTTAAAATATATTGTGTACTAAGCTTTGTTTCAAAGGACCCCTGGTGGCACAGTGGTTGAAATACTCAGCTGCTCACTGAAAGGTTGGTGGTTCGAGCTCAACAGCTGCTCTGTGGGAGAAATAGATGCAGCCTGATGTTGTAAAGGTTTGCAGTCTTGGAAATCCTGTTGGGGCAATTCTCTGTATTCTTTAGGGTTGCTATGAATCAGAATCCACTCAGCAGCAATGGGTTAAATCATGGTAAAAATAAAAACAGTATTAAAACCCCCCACTGCCTTGGTACCAGGAACACAGTGATGAGCCAGCAGGTATATTGGCTTTTGTTGTTAGGTATCATCGAGTTGGTTCCGACTCATAGCGACCTTATGCACAGCAGAATGAAACACTGCCCGATCCTGGGCCAACCTCACTATGGTTGCCACGCTTGAGCCCATGGATGCTGCCACTTTGCCAATTCATCTCACTGGGAGTCTTCCTCTTTTTTGGGTGTTCTTGTGCATCTCCCCTCACTTCATATCAGCTCGATGCTTCACTCTCAGCTCTGGCCCTCTGTGGCTATGTCCTTGTCTATGGGCTCAGGTGTCCCCAGGTCTCACCACACTTTGGATCTCTTTCTTATCTCTAGGTCAATGGGAGTCAATGGACTGTGGTTGAACTCAGCCCATTACTTCAGTGCTGTCTTTCCTCCTCTTCCACTCACCAGTAGACCAATGTGGTACTAGCAAGCTTACATGCCTGTTCATGTGTCCTTTTGAGTTTCAGTCTTAGCGGGGGATTTGTCCTGAAAGAACCTGATTGCTTGCCTTGATGGCTTTCCGGCAAACAGAATAAGCTTGCTTATTCTTGTAGTAGCCAGTCATACTGACATTTTTGCTTTGGGTTTTTCCTGATGATCTTTCTTTGAAGATGCATCTTTTGTCACTCTAGCTGTTCCAGGCTGATCTGCTTGTCCTTTCTAGTGGGGATGTCCCACCTCAGAAGGTTCTGGATGGGACTCAGGATTCCACCTAAGGTCCTATACTCTGTAAAGGCTTTGCAAGAGGCCTATTTCACTGGGCAAGTTCTAGAACCCCTTTTAG